TGAACGGTAGGACGAGCTGGCGGTTGTGAGAGAGTAAGCAGGAAATAAAGGCGCGTGTCAACGGAGAGGGGCGGAGTAGTTCAATCGAGAAGAATCACGTGTGGTATGACGCAGGTAAACAGAGAAGCGATTGGTGAACTTCGAGAAAGGAATGTGATCTGGAAGACATTAGCCGCGTTCACACGTAGCAAGAAATCCGGTATTTAGCGTTCACACGAGGCAAAATGCGCGGTCCAAGAAATACGGTATCTAAACAGATCCGGTATTTGATGTAAATACGCGGCTTCCCAGACCCCGAATAATTTGCCGTGTTTGAGAAATGCCGGATCTCTTGGACCGCGCATTTCTTCGTGTGAACACTAAATATCGTATTTCTGAAGCTGCGTATTTTATAGACTGGTCTGCGCTCGACAGTTCCAGTGTAACGCGAGTGGGACTGTCGAGCGCGGACCAGTCTACATATTTTATCGGCAGTTGGTGCGCATTGCATTGTTTATTTTGCATTGTTCGTTTGATTGTTTAAAGCAGCTCGCAGCTCGCAAATACGGCATTTCTGGAGCCGCGAATCAGCGTGTGAACGCTCGCTCGCGTATTTGTCTCAGATTCGGTATTTCGCAAATACGGAGTCTCGTGTGAACGCGGCTGATATCTCTGCGACTACAACTCTATGGGTGCATGTGCAATGCTTACGGAAGTGTTGCTCGTGACGTAATAAGTCGTAGTGGAATAAGTTGACCGTTTGGCAGTTACTGTTGTGGAATGTTCATCACTGTTTTGGTGAGCATCCAAATGCCATCTATGTAGATGGCTGTAATACGACACTCGGTGTGATTCACTATCGCCAGGTCTTATATGTCGTATTAGAACGTTACCCTTGCACGCTGGCGTGCTATTTATGTTAGCTCACACTTGCTTATTGCCACCGTTGATGTGGTGGGTGGAGTCCCATTTAAAATAATATAAAGCAGCGGTATCTTCTCCTAATCAGGTGTTACCACTTCTGACTGTATTAGGTCTGTGCTGGGCAGCGATCATGGTGTTTATATAGTTTTGGTGCTGTAATCCGTCCATTACCTTCTGTCACTTTGTGTTGTGATTTTATGTACATGTACATGCGTTGTTAATTGCATAGTGTTGCTAGTAAATTACGAAATTCTTGATGGCAACCCATTACGATTGTATTGGGTTTAGTTGTTGGTTTCTTTGACTGTGTTATTGTCTTTGGCGTCACTCGAAAAGCAACCTGATCATTTCATAAACTATTCAACGCTAGCATTTATGGAGCCTGTAGTCATTTGGCAATACACTGCAATTTTTGCTTTTGTTGAAAGCCATGTAAGTTGTTTCGTGATAGGAGTTCAGATATGAATAATATATAGAATAATTAGATAGGAAAGAACTCCAGCCGTTATTCTATACATTACCAATCTTAAACAGGGACAGGTAAATTTCTTTTTTTGTAGTGATTGTTTAAAACCCTGTTGCTTTACACATCATTTAGACGTGGCGTTAGACATTGCTGTCAGTGATGTTATATAATACCTTGTGCAATAAACAGTGATATGTAATTCAAAGTGACAATGCGTATAATCTAGGTTTCTATAACCAAATATTTGGAAACATCACTGTGACCGGTGTGTGTGTGTGCGTGCGTGCGTGCGTGCGTGCGTGCGTGCGTGCGTGCGTGCGTGCGTGCGTGCGTGCGTGCGTGCGTGCGTGCGTGCGTGCGTGCGTGCGTGCGTGNTTTACACCTCTTGACCTTTGACCATTAACCGGACGATCATGCGATTCTACAAGCTGCATCTGACTATGTCAGATGAGCTAAAAACTGGTTTGAAAATGCATTGAAACGCAGCAGAAAATACGTCAGAATGGCGCTAAAGGGGTCCATTTTTTCCAAATTTTCTGGGGGAGGGCCCCCCATACCCCCCGCCGCGCTCGGGCTCCGCCCTCGAGTTCCGGGTGTTACCTAATTCGATCCCCCCCGCAAAACTCGCTGGTTACGGGCCTGCACACACGCACGCACGCACGCACGCACGCACGCACGGACGCACGCACGCACGCACGCACACACACACACACACAGAAAATCCCCAATTTATAGTAAGATACTGTAACTGGAGTGGCTGAAAAAAACTGGTGAACCCACGGTCCATTTATCTTGTTAAATTTACTGGACCGAGAGAGATTTTGATGGTCTCGGACCACGGTCCACCGCCTAACGTCGAAGACTGCATTTGAATATACTAGGTCGAATATACTTGACCTCTGCTGCGTGAATTGTTGTGACAGCCAATACATATGAAGATTCGTAAGTGCATGTTGATCCATATATATCAGGGAAAAAATTACTTTAACATTTTTTTTTTTTTAATTCAATTTGAGAAATATACAATCAAGTATCAGGAATCAGGAATCAGGTATCAGGAATTTTCGACCCACAACTCAGTCCCCAGATTTTTTCTTTAAAAGTATTTGTGTAAAACCTTAAACCTTACCCTTTGAAAATTAATATGGGCTTTTTATATACGTAGTCCCTCGATCCTCCCTCCGAAAAAAAAACTCATGTTAAATTAGTCTCCATATTATCAGTCGAGAAAGACAGTATCCCATTCTCAACTCTAGTAGATGTGCCTTTGAAAAAATGCCATTATGTTAGAATTTTTAGACCGTAGTTTTTTTTAAATAAATTCACTTTCTCCTTTGAACAATAGAAGGATGCAGATAATAGCAATTTTTCATAGGACTAAGGAGTCCCCCCTTGTATGTCATATTTTTGGTACATAACAATCTGTAAACGACTGGTTAGTAGTTAAGCCTTAATAGTGTAGCGGTGGCACCGAACCCTAGACCGGGTTCCTAGCAGGGTGGCTCCCTGGGAACCAGAGTGTGGGTGATCCGTGTTTGTAATTGTATAATTATTTGTGATGTCTGCTGTTTATTAGTGTGCGTTTTCGTGTTGTTTTGCCGGCTCATCAATTAACGATGTAGATAAGTCGAGTCCCTGCATGGGGGCAGCCATGTTGGGTTAGCCACCCACTCTTAGGCCATGTTGAATTTAGATGCATTGTTTAACGTGAATGATTACCGCTCCTGATCTTAACGGCCGCTAGAGGGCCTACCCACCAGAGCGTTAACCCCTTACTATATGAAAGTGGGTGGCTGCTGACTGAGCCAGACCGGCCAATGAGTGAGCAGGTCGTCCAATCAGCGAGCAGGCTTTTGCCTGACGTCATTTCTCAAGTTATTCAAGTTGAATTTATAACTGCAATTAGTGCACGCTTCTGCCAAAGCCATTAACTAGATTGTTTCCATTCATCAGGTATTCGCCTGGGGCAAAGTTTTGCCGTATTTACTTCTGTACGCTCGATTGCTTGCCGCTAATCCAATTCCCTGCCATAAGGCAAACACCGTTTTCGGTCGATCGATAACGAGGCTCGCAAACCGCTGACGCGGCGCTCGCTTACAGGCGTTAGTGTAGCCGTGCGGAACATAACGACTGTATTATAAAGGTTAATGCATTGTTATGCAAATTTGGTGTAGTGTAAACTGAGAGCCAGGTATTATTTTATTTATATATTTTACCATCTTTAAAAGGCCATAATAAAAATATTGTTTGTTTGCCCTCACCCGACCGACCTGCCAAAAAGGGGCAGACTCAAAAAATGTTATTGATCTTTTTTTTGTCTTTTTTATTTAAACAAATTGTATCACTGTACATTGTATAAATCTGTAGGCAATACATTATATGTACCAAGCAAAAGAAACATTCAACATAAAAGGTATCTCCACACAAGCACACCCGAGCATGTAGACACTATGCTGAATTTGTAAAAAGACCCCCACCCTCAAAAAAAGCCGACCTACCTACCCAAACTTTTCAGCCTGAGTCGGGTGAGGGCAAACAAATATTTTTTTAATTGTGGCCTAACCTATTCTATATGTCCAGCCTCATGCTTGCTGTACCAGGCATTCTGGTAAATTTTAATTTCAGCTTGCCTTCTCAAACCATCTACATTACTTGGTAGAGGTTATACTTATAGGTGATTCAATGTCATTACTTGTTTTTTTTAATTATTGTTGTCATGGTAATTGGTATGACAACTTGTCAACTACGGGCAGTGTGGCCGGTGTGCCTATGCCTATGGTTAGTATGGCGGTGGTTAGTTGCATGGTTCAATTAACTGTTCTACTTTAGTACTATATTCAATTATTTAGGTATTAGTAATAGTATGTCTCTGTGACATTGATTCAGAGCCTGAGTGAGGGGTGCAACACTGCAGCAGCTTTCGCGTAGAGCCGTAAATGTCAAAATTCGTAAAATCGTGTACACCGGCATTTGTGGCCAGGACTAGGAGTAGGAGTAGCCTCTTTTCAGTCATAGCCTTAGGTGAGGAAATGTTATTAAATTTTCCTATTTAACATCGGATGATCAGTCCGTGACACAGTGACACACGACAGTGACGACACATACAATACATACCTACAAGAGCTGGTTTCCTTGCCAATGCGTTTGTTACACAAACAGCAGTAAAGCCTATCACTCCAAATAATGTTGGGTAATAATACTGGTCGAAAATACCCATTGTGATAGACCCTAAGAATAAATAAAAGGCTTTAAAATTTTAGTGTTGACTGGAAACCTATGCGGATAACTGCACGACCTCGTAGCATAGGTCAATCATCGACGGCGTGGAGATGCTCAAATTTCCCAACATTCGCGTAACAAGTTTGCTAGACTGGTACATAATTCTACTTCCTTATAGAACTGAGTTCATGCTCAGATAAGGTACCAGTCAACAACATTTCAGTGTCTTGTTTAGGTCATTTATCTATTTCTTGCGTCACGGAAAATCTATTCCAAATAATTATTAGCCCGTTCAGAAAGTTAAGAAAATCTTCGAGATTTATCAACGATGCAGAAACAAGTTTTGGATTTCTGGATAAAATA